AGGCACCCCCCGGTCCCGGGCGGCGATGGTGAGGTTATAGAAGGGGATGTTCTCGCGGTCCAGCTCCGCATCCTTCCGCACCCGCAACTCTCCTTCCACCGGGGAGATGACAAATTCCCCTGCCAGAGACAGAGGGCCCCTGGTTCGTGCCGTGCCCCTGCAAATGGCCTGGCTCCCCAAGGGAATGGTTCGTCTGGGAGCTGGGGCACGGGCACCACGGCAGGTTTGGGGACAAACCTGTGCCCCTTTACTGCACATATGGGAGGACTGTGGTAGCTGGGGACTGTGCTACTGCACCCCCAGGTACCAGTAGGAGCAGGGGAGGGGGTGAATGCCCAAATAAGGTGTGCCTGTGCCCCTTTCCTGCGCCTTTCTGAAGATGCCAACATCCCCTGCGTGCCCTGTGATGGCCACAGCAAGGTGGGCCACGCAGCACAGGCTCCCCACAAGCCGCGGGGCCGTGCCCTGGTTGTTCTGGAAAAGCTTTGCAGCGGGGTCAGCTGGGCTCTGCCTTCCAGATTCCCTGGACTGAGATGGACTGAGATGGACTGAGATCACCACCCCCTTCACAGAGGGACAACCCCACGTACCCACGGTTAGGGATGCCCACCGCTCCTCTGCCACTTGCCCCAGGGTGCCGGCACAGCAATTCAGTGCCCAAACGCCCTGCAAACCCCACAGGGGTGAGGTTTCTCTTTCTGCGGTTTGTTTCTTTGCCCTTTTGAATTTTTTTTTTTTTCCCTTCATTGTTTAGCAGGTTTCCCCCCTCCCTTGCACAAGCCCCGGCCACCCCCCTGCCTGGCCACGAACAGGTTAAGTTTCCTGTTGCTCAGAACAGGATTTCCTGGTGTCGAAAGGCTGAATCCGCAGAAGCAGCTGCTTGGAGGGACGATGGCTTTTCTGAAACTTCCTCCCCGCGCTCCCTGAGCCAGGCCCCTCCACGGGGCAGCCAGCAGGACAGGCCGTGCCCCCGTGCCCCCACTCACCCAGGGGGTCCCCGGCGACGATGCTGTACTCCACTTGCCCGCTGGGTCCCGAGTCGCCGTCGTGGGCCAGGAAGGTCCAGACCCGTGGGCCGGGCTGCCCTTCGGTGACGTCGAAGGGACCCTCGTAGGGCCGGGGGAAGGTGGGACAGTTGTCGTTGATGTCATTGAGGTTCACCAGCACCTGCGGTCAGGGCAAGGAAGCTGAGGGCTGTGAGGGGAGAGGGATGGAAGGGGAGACCAGCCCGCTGGCCAGGAACATGGGAAAGCCATGGATAGGTGGCACTGCAAAATACCTCCTGTGTTTCTGGCTTCTCTGGGTTCACCAAACATCCACCTCACAGTTCAGAGGTTGAAACTCACTTATTCCTGACCATGCCCATCCTACAGTCACACTGTGAAACTCCAGCTGCACACAGGTGGGGGGCACTGCTAAACCTCTGGGCCACACACCGTGATGGAGGAGTCAAGGCAGCAGCCCACATTCCCATCCTAAACCCCAAGCTGGATACACAAAACCCACAGACAAGGGTTTGACCACCAAAGCCACAAGTTTGGAGAGACCCAACCTCTGCAGCCAGCTGCACACTCGCACTCTCCTTTTCCTCCAAAAAGGCCTAATTCCTAAAGCTGGGCAAACTTAAAAAAAATTGCAGGTTGCATTCTTAGTCCAACAAAACCACTTGTGGTACAGGTGGTTATGAGAAAGACACTGGAAATGGGTAGTTTTTTGACTTTCTGGGTTAAAGGATAGTGAAATCCATCAGATAGGCAATTGTTACTGGTTAAATCTAATCTTTACAGAGAGCACATCCAAGTCTCTGCTCAGTTTCCTAGCAGTGGAGAAAACAAACACTGGCACGCCTTATCAGGGTGATGGACTTCCCATCACTCGGGATCTTAAACAATCCCCAAACCTCCTCCTAAACAGTCCCTAAACCTCCTCCTAAAAGCTGTGTTTTTGTATGGTGCTGGCACAAGCTCCCTGGGCCATGCAGGGAGGGTGTTTCCTATCCCTTCTGGCTGCAGTGCTTGTTGATGAGGGGGTTTCCAAGTCCATGTCTCTGCTTGAGCCAAGTGCAGGGGAAGCTCTGCCTTCACTTGCACCATGCCAGCAGCTGCCACCTTCCCTGCCAGAAGTTAAACCCCAGGTCTGTCCCTGCTGCAGCTTTCCTGGGCCAGGACAGTATCAGACGACCAAATCTGAGGGTTTCCCATTTGCCCAAGCATGGACCAGAGCTTGTGGGGACAAATATTATCCATGGAAATCTCCCACAATGATATCTACCCTTCAGTTTCTCTCTTTTGCACAGAAGAACTTATCTCCTTTCGGAGTCTACAACACACTTGTCTCGATACCTCAGTGAGGCATAATGGTCCAAGGGAGTGAAGACAGAAGGCTTAACCCACCCCTGCCATCTGCAGACCCCCAAATCAATCTGGGCACAAACAACATCTGCTGTACAACCTGTCAAATTTTGGGTTCAGCCACAAATAATCAGTGTATTCAATTCCTGCAAAATATGTGCTTTGGAGCTGCTCGTCTGCCCTCCCTGCTCTTTGAGCAGCGCACTAAGTTCAGGTCACCGTGGTCCGGGAAACAAAGACAGAGCCATAGAGCAAAGTAACAAAAAAACAAACTAGAGGATTTAAATACACCCCTTACAAGGAGTGGAAAGGGAGTTCTAAAAGCAGACAAGTAACCTGATAAGACAAAGATGAAGCAGAAATTAATGCTATAGCAATGCTTTACTACCTGCTGTCCCTTCATGAGGAAAGACCAAGAAAACATCTAAAGAAAACATAATGCAACTTAGAAAGCATTCCAGAGGTTTCTCTATATGTTTGCAGGGCCAAATAATCAAGTAAATTAACCCACAAGTGTCCCTTGTCCACGTCCCCGCTTTGAGAGACCCATAAGGGAGCAGGGCGGCAGCAGCTGCACAAACTGGGGCCACAGCTGGGAAAAACGACTGGTGGTCACTGGGAAAGAGATGTGAAACCGCTCACACGAGAGGGAACTCCTTGACCCCAGAGAGGCCGCGGTGTCACAGCCCCGCCGGCAGCTCCTTACCGTGGCGGTCGACGTGAGCCGGCGCGACACGGTGGGACACTGGTCGGTGGCGGTGACGATCAAGGTGTAGCGCCCGTGGCTGATCTCGTAGTCCAGCTCCTTCACCGTGCGGATCTCTCCCTGCAAGGAGAGGGGAGAGCAGCTGGGAGCGAGGGCAGCGGGACAGGGACATGCCCGGGATGGGGCCGGCATCCCGACTGACCGTGGCGTTGTCGATGTGGAAGGTACCCAAGATGTTGCCCTCGGTGATGGCGTACGCCACCGTGCCATTGGGCCCCTCATCCCGATCCAGGGCCTGCACGGTGACCAGGGTGGCGTTGAGGGTGGAGGGACCTTCGTCAAGGGTCACCTCGTACAGCTGCTGCCGGAAAGCGGGAGCGTTGTCGTTCTCATCCAGGACAGTGACGTACACGGTGGTGGTGGCCTGTGGGACAGGGGACACGGCGTTAAAACGCTGTGGAGGGATGTGCTGTGCAGTCTCTGGAGCTGGCTAGGAAAGGCTGGATCTGTCAAGGTCAGTGACCAACATGGGCTCAACCCTGCCAAGAGACACAAACAGAGTGCAGGGCTCAAAATGAAATGAGCCGTGGCTGCAGACGCACTTCCAAGGTAATGGTTTGGCACAGAGATAAACGTCTTGAGATTAAATCACACCCTTGCTCCCAAGCAAAGCACGTCTCTGGGGGATCCTTCCCCTTTTCACACGGTTTACCACTGCTAGCAATTAACAGGCAATAACATTGCTCATGGCAAAGGGAAAACCAGAGGCCAAACCCCTGCCTTTGGAGGACACATGTGAGTCCTTGCCTTGGCTGTTATTAACAAGTGTGACAACGTGGATGGAAAACACCCGGAGATGATGCTGCCACAGCTCAGGGGAGAAACAAAACCTAGCATCTCAGACAACTAGACTGACCTCCCATGGTCCCACCACATGCCTGCTGACCACAACTTCAGGTGGACCCCACCCTCCTCCATCTGTACCTGGCTCTGCATAGACACCTGGATGTCCTGACTGAAGGTTGTCTGCTGGAGGTGTCTGGGGATGGGGAGGTGACAAAAGCATGCACAGAGGTGGTGTCTTGAGACAATAAACCACTCCCTTGGAGTCTCTGGACTTCATACCTACACCTTCCCCCAGCAAGAGATTTCTTCCAGCCAGCCAAGAGCTGGCATTACATTTTTGGCAAGAGCATCACAGTCATGTTTGTTGTAAAAACCACAAAGCCACATGGTAATTAGCTACTTTTCTATTTCCCTGCGCATTCCAGATTCAGAGTGGGCTAGAAGCAATGTTTGCAAACCTCCACGTGTCTTCAGGCTCCACTTTCCAGGGAATACTGTTTGGAAACGAGGCAGCTCTCAGCTGCAGCCAGAGATTTTGTTGATGCCTTTGGAATTTGAAGAGAAGTTCCAGGAGGAGTTCTGTGTCAGATCATGGGGCTGCTTTGCTATTCGAGGGCAGAGTAAAAGTCCCTCACTGTGTAAAAGGGCTGTGGGAGGGGGATGCTTTGCTCAACTTTTTTTTTTTTTTTTTGGAAAAGCTCCTTGACTTCTCTAAGCCAGCACTGCTCTGAGTTACCCTCCCGCCCATCCCAGGAAGATTTCTGCCTGCTTAATCCTCACAAACACGGGGAAAAGCAGTAATTCCAAGAAAAGTAATTACAAGCCAGCCCCAAGGGATCAGTTCCTCTTGGAAAAGGCGTGAGATCAACAGCCACAAGTGCCCCCGGCACGGCGAGCAATCCCCCTCTGCACCCCGAAAACGCACAAAGGGGGACTGGCTTGCTCTAAACGATGCTGTTAAGGGGAAAAAAACCCAGCAAACGCCCCCTCTGCCCGAAGAGGTGGGGACGGCAGTGACACCCACCCGCGGGGCACTCCCCCCCGTCCTCCCGCCCGCCGCTCCCTGCAGCCTCTCACCTCCTGGGGGTGCTCGCCGTTCTCTCCATCCCTGCGCAATAATCGCAATGAAATTTCCTGTGTGTGCAAGCCCGGCTGTCGCGGCGGGGCTGCTCAGAGCGTGCGGTGGCTCCGCAGAAGCCACCTCTGCCCGGCCGCCCCGCTGCCATGGGGGTGACGTCCCCCCGAACTAGGCTGCTGCTGGCCGCGCTCTGCCTGCTCGCTTCCCACGGTAAGCTCCGGCTCGCCTGCCTCTCTCCTCCCTGCCCGCAGAAACTCCCCTCGCTGGGGCACCGTGCTCGCCGGCCCGGGGCTGTGCCTCGCCACGAGGAATTTGGGGCGCTTAGGGGGTTATTTGCTTTCCTCCCCTCTGTTTTTTGGGTGGTGGGGCGGGGGGTGTCGGGTCAAGCCAGGGTTTCACATGGTGCTGGGGCTGTGTCGGGGTAAAGGGGCCACAGGGGAGCTGCTGTTCTAAAACTCCGAGACTGTTTTTTTTTCTTTCTTCCTTTGCTTTGATCTAACACGCGTGGAAGGAAAGCAGCCACCCCCTGTCCCCGCCAGCCCCCGCTGGGGACCCCGGGCTGGAAAACCCATTCTGTTCCCACACGTCACTCTTCCCTGGCACTGTGGGGGTCCCCGGCTGGGCCATGGTGAGAAGACCCTTCCGTCAGCCCTGGGGGAGCGGAGAGGGGGATTTGTGCCAGCAGGGCCGGGATGCCCTCTCTGAGGATGCTCCGCTCTGCCGTAATTGCTCGGACGTGCCGAGCAGCTTCTCTGGGTGGGCACCCAGCCGTGGCCAGGACCACAGTGTGGCTGCCGGGTTCCCCTTCCCCTGAACGAGTGCCTCCCAGCGCTGGAAGCTCGCCGGCTGCTTATCAGGGGGATGCTCTGGGAGGGAGAGGGCTGCTCCATCCCTGATTCTGCACCAGCCCTGGCAGGCAGCGTTTCCGTTTGGGGCTCCGGGGCCAGGGAGTGTGACACAGGAGCGGTGGCAATTAAAACCACAGATCGTCTGTGGAAGAAGGGTCAGAGAAGGAAGCTGGGAAGGACCGTGATCCCTCCCTGCTCTGCGCACGCAGAGGACGAGCATCCTATCGGGCTTGGCTTCACTGTCTTTCCCGGGACGGGAAAGAAGAGATGCCCAAAGATGCCCTATTGCAACGGGGCTGGGAGGCCCCTTCTCCTCTCTCCTCTGGGACACCAAGCCTGGTGTGGATTGAACAATGCTTTGCTTCTCATCCGAGTCTCGGCATCAGGGAGCGATTCCCAGCACCTCCACAGGGACTTGAAAAATTTCATTTATGCATCTGGGGTGCTGGGACTGAACCTCAGGTCTTCTGCAATGCAACAAGCTTGGATGATGATGATCAACTCGAGCCCGGTGCCAGAGGAACTGAGCTTTGTGCAGCCAAAACTTTCCAAACCCCCAGGTGGGCTTGGTGGAGGAGCAGAGCCCTTGGAAACATCCGGTTTGGAGATGCTGGCACCAAGGTGGATGGGGAAGTGGCTCCTCTCCACCTAAAGAACGGCAGCTGAGCTGGGCTTTCCAAAATCACATCCCAAGTGCTGTCCCTGAGCCAGGGCCATGCTGGCAGAGGAGCAAGGCAGGACTCTCCAGTGGGAGCAGCAGCTCCAGGCTGCTCCCACCACTGCCTGGATGATGGGTGCCCCTGGAAAGCTATTTGATGAGGGCTCTTAACAAGGGCATCTTGGGTATCTTGGGCATCTTCAGTAAGTTTTCCCTGACTTTTTTCTTCCCTGCTGTAAGTACTTGTGTGGAGGTGTGGATGCCTCTGCACATCTCACCTGGCTGATTAACTCTGGAGCACAATGACAGTACGGTGATGATGGGGTTTGGGGAACTTTGAGGTGAGGCTGTTACAAAAGCTCCCAGAAGAAGGAATAAAGCCGTGTTCCTTGCTCCAGTGCTCCACTCTCTCTCCAGCAGCCCCTCCTCTGCAGCAGGTGAGCCCCTCCAAAGGCTCCATCCCCTGCTCCGCACAGATCTTCTTGGAGCGGAAAGAGGCAGCCTGAAGTGGAAATCACTTCTGTCAGGCACATGAGAGCAGATCAAACACCTGCTTGCCAGGGCAGGGGACCAAACTTAGGAGAAGCAGCCAGGAGAGGCTTTTGGTCACTGACCCAGAATTTGGTGTGAAATGCTGATTTATTTAAGACGTTGGTCGGCAAAGCAACATGGGGTCCTGTACTTCTTTTGCATTTCCATCTGTCTGAAAGGAGAGCTCCCAGGTTTCAAGTGAGGCAGTGACAGTAGCACCAGGCAGGCACCAGCCCTGCACTGGACTCTGTGTGGCACCAAGGTAATGTCACTGCTTGGAGACAGAGATACTGAGGTGCCAAAGAGGAAGAGGGGCACTTCTGGCACCCACTTGAGACCTCCTCTGTCTTTACCAGATGGTGATAAGACAACAGCTCTAGTGCAGCCCTCAGTGGATCCAGTCTCTCTCAGCTGGAGATGTGCAGAGACTGGCACCTGGCTTTATTCTAGCATTTGCCAGCAGCTCTGACTTCAAAGGGAATGGTTCAGTCGGGGTGTGGATGGAGCCAAACTTGGGCTCTGGGCATGGTAGAAGCCCAGAAGATAGAAGATGTTTCTCCTGGGCACCATCTGGTGTCCAGCACGGCTTTAAAGCCTCATTACATCTTGGGGAGGGAACACCAACTTCCCTGGCACCGCTATGGGCTGCACTGTGCCTTGCCAGCTGCTTTCTCCTCCACTCTGTGGCTTTTGAGAGCCTTCCCCGACTGCCTGGGAGAACGAAGGGAGGCTGGCAATGCTGAAGGCTGAGCACACATGGTAACCTCTGCCCCTCCCCGCTGCTGAAAGCGTGGGCTGTGCTGACTTTCCATCCAGACGGTTCCCATCAAGCTCCGGAGGTGGGAGCTGGACGGTTGAGCGAGGCAGAGCTTTGCAAACTGCGCGGGGATGAGCGGGACAGCTTTACCACGAGGGCTGAGTGTGGAAAACAAAAGACTCCCGCAGATACTTTTGGAAGGTGTTGGAAGTGTGGCTTCCTTCAATAGAGCCCTGGCTTCCCTTCCTCTGGCTCCCGGGAGACCCCCGATGTGAATGGGGCACTTCCCGTAGCCGCAGGTATCGTGAAACACATCTGAGGTGCCTGTTGCGCTCAGTGGGCTGGCGAGGAGGTTGGGAGACCTGCTGTGCTGCCTGCCAAAACCCATCCAGCCCGGCCGTGCCTCCTGGCCCCAGCAGCACCCGAGGGTGAGGAGAAGTCAGGGCTTGAAAATAAGACTGAACAAGGCAGCGTTGATCCGGGGCCACACAAACCTCTGCCCCAGAGCGGCTCCGGGGATGTGCTGCTGCACGTGCCGTGGGGAGCAGGAAGCAATTAGCCGGAGAGGTCTGGCAAAGGTCACGCCATCCCTGGCTCCCCGGGGCTCCTTGGCACCCTGTGCTGCAGACCAGGGGGGTGCAGTGGGGCAGATCTCCTTCCCAAACCCTCCCTTGTCCCCACAGAGCACCCTCGGGCAGGAACTCAGGGCTTTCATGGCTGTCCTTGCACCGTCACCGAATAACCAGAAATAACCATGAGGGGTGGAAGGCAGCTTCTCGGTTTCGCTCTCTCAGGCCGTGACACAGTGACCCTGTGTCACAGGCCAGAGGAAGAGGAGGATGCTCTCGGGGTTGCCTGGTGATGGGGAGCCTCTGGCCCAGCTGGATGCCTGCGGGCAGGCCCAGCACACCCTGCCTGAGATCGACACCCGCTCGATATAGCAAGCGAAAAACCTCAAAGACAAACGGTGGCGGAGCTAATGGCACAACAGGATGTTACCAAAATGAAAAAACATCTTGTCCTCATACCATCTCCTCTGCTGCAAAGCAGCCCCAGGAACCTCCTTTCCACAGTAATTTAAAGTAAATAAGCCCAGAATCTGCTTTTTCTCCAGCTTTCAAAGTGACGTTTCCACTTCTGTTACAAAGCGGTGGTGGGGTCAGAGCACCAGAACCTCTCCTGTCTCTTTTCTCTCCCCTCAGGCACAGTATCCCTTCCCCACCAGTACCCTCCACCCACGCCCTGGGAGAAGACCAGGAATGCTGTGGTGTGCCCCTCACCAGCAATGCCGTGGTGTGCCCCTGCACCCCTGCCAGGCCTCCCGCCCACATTCCAGAATTTCTCTCTGAAAATTGTTTTCATTTTCAAGCAGCTTCTCACTGTCAGCATCAGCCAGTTCCCCCTTCTCCTCCCCAGGGGTTGAAAAACAAGGAGGGTGGGACCTGCTCCCCGCCTGATCTCAGGGGGCAGCCCCTCCTAGCTCTTTTCTGTTTACTTTTTCTGCTTTTATTTTTTTGCAGCTGGCCCAGCAGCACTCATGTTTCCTCCTTCATGAGCCATAACCCTTCTGCCTCGCTTCTCCTCTCACCCTCCACACACTTTGCCTCCCTGCCCCACACCTCTGCCAGCTCTGCTGTCCCCAGACAACCTCCTGCCTCCCTGCTGCTGATGCCTAACTGTATTTAAAGCATGTCTCTCCTCCAGAGTTTATTTCTACGGTGAAGTTGTGCTCCCAGCCCTGCTGAGATGTTGCTACAGAATCCTGGAATGATTTGGGTTGGAAGGGACCTTGAAGACCACCTTGCTCCAAGCCCCTGCCACAGGCAGGGACACCTTCCACCAGCCCAGGTTGCTCCAAGCCCCATCCAACCTGGCCTTGGACACTTCTAGGGATCCAGGGGCAGCCACAGCTTCTCTGGGCAACCTGTGCCAGGGCCTCCCCACCCTCTGCCAGCAGCGGTGGTGGGGCTGCAGTGCTTGTTTGGGGAGGGATCCCCATTTTGTTACCCACTCGGGGTAAGGTCAGGGTCTGACCGCTTGCCGTGCCTTCTTCCCCCAGGAGGGCCAGCAGCTTTCCTGATCACCACCCCCTACTCGCTCTGCGTCTGCCCCGAGGGCCAGAACATCACCCTGACCTGCCGGATCAGCGGCCCCCTCGCCGACCGCCACGACCTGCTCTACAAGACCTGGTACTTCAGCAGCAACGGCGACCAGAGCTGCTCCGACAAGAGGCACATCCGCAACGTCACCGAGAAGGAGCTGCACCACGACCTGGGCAGGCACCACGAGCCTGGGGGCAACGGCACCCAAAAATCCCCGCTGGGGCGGCACCGCGGGGTGGAGTTTGTCCCCGACCACCACGGCGCCTTCCACATCGTGGTGACGAACCTGACGCTGCGGGACAGCGGGAATTACTGCTGCTACGCCGTGGAGCTGAGGCGGGAGCACGGCAAGCCCCACCCCATGCAGGTTGCTCACGGCTTCGTGGAGCTGCAGATCCAGCAGCAAGGTGAGGGGGGCAAGGGGGGGCCCCCCTGCCAGCCCTGCATCCCTGCCAGGGTGTGTCAGAGCTCAGGGGGCCAAGAAGGGGTGGGGGGGGACACACCAGGGTGCAGCGTCAGGGCTGGGGAGGGAAGGAGTGAGAATGCTGGAAGGCCAAGCCGTGTTGCAAGAGTCAAAAGAGCAGCAGATGTTGAAGGTCTGAGTTAGGGCCGGAGAGCAATAGAACATTAAAACAAAATGAAAAAAAAAAAAAACCAACATAAACTCCAGAGGCTGGAATGCAATAAAATCCATGGTACATAGTTTCGCTGATCTTCTTCAACCTCTTTCTGGAAGAGAGGAAAATAAATCTCAACTTAAAAGGAGCTGGCTGGTGGTGCAAGCCCAAATGAGGGCTTGTCGATAACCTTGGGACAGCAGCCCAGTGGGAGAGGCATGAGGGAGGGGAAGGCACCTCCTTCCCTTGATTTGCAGCACTAGGATAGATAGTTTTCTTTTAGACCAAGAGAAAAGAGGCTGCATGGTCAGGGATGGGGCCCCACTGCCACAGGGAAAAGGGGTCTTGCAGCAGGGATCTCTCTGTAGGCTTCCAAGCTTTGGGATGCTCTGGGATGCTCTGGGATGATATTCTTAATATCAGGGGCAAAAAGGCAAGGCACAGCCAGCAGGCTGGGAGTTCTGTGGGGCCTGAGTGAATCCCCTGAGGTGTAACATGCTTTTCTGTTCTCTTCTGCAGGCAGAGGAGGGCTTCAAAACTGCACATTTCATACAGCCACCAGCAAAGGTACAGGGAAAAAAACCCTCTTTCCAACGTGCTGCTTGCCACCCTGGCCTGTGTTTTTCCCTGGGATCACTGGCTGCTGCAAACACCAGTGTCCAGATGCAACCTCACCGTTGGGTGTTGGGAGGGTGGTTTTTGATGCTGTCCCCACAGGGTGCATCTGACAGGCTCTGCAGAGCCTTCTTTAGCCCATCACCAGGACATGACTGTCCCAAAGCCCCAGCAGGTCATTCACCCTGTGGTTCTAAAGCACCCAAGCTCCCCCCCTTCCTGCCCCACAGATGTGCCCACAGGTGGCCAGCCTTTCTGTGAGCCTCCATGGGCAGCGTTCTCGAGGGGAACATTTGTTAACGAGCTCAGGTTAACGAGCCCTTTGATGCCCGAGCACTGTGAGGCTGCCTGTGGGTTGTGGCCAGCGCTCTGAAATTGCTGGGGGCCTTTATCAGGGCTCCTCTCCTGGTATCTGGAAGACCAAAAAAAAGGGCCTTGGGGTGTCCTCCAGCAGTGAAGGACTTTGGTGAAGGTCCTAAAACGATGCCTCAGAGCTTATCTGCACAGCTGGCAACGCATCCCAGCGCGAATCCCGTGTGTGTGGGAGCTGCACTGCATCAGGTGTGGGGCAGTGTGGGATGGCCCTGCGATGGACTTGGCCATCTTAAAGGTCTCTTTCAACCTAAACAAATCTGTGATTCTGGCTTGAGGAAGCTGAGGAAATGCAAGGTGAGCCCTCCCCCATGTGTGCCCTCCTCTGCCGCAGATATCACGGCCGCCGCGCTGGCCACGGGCGCCTGCATCGTGGGCATCCTCTGCCTGCCCCTCATCCTGCTCCTCATCTACAAACAGAGACAAGCCGCCACCAACAGACGTAAGTACCAGGGACGGCCCCCTCATCCCCAGGGCGGCAAGGATGGTATGGGATGTGCCCTGCTGGGATCAGCTGGTTTGGCTGCCCCGAGTGCCACGGGCACAGCGTAAGCTGGCCCAGCGACAGGTCCCTGCCAGGTGTCTCCCACAGAGCTGTCCTGGGAAGGGCCAGGCATGCCTGAAGGCTGCTGGTGAGGAGTGTGGGATAGGAGGGGACCCCAGGAGCGTGCTGGGGACACTGAGACTGCAAAGATGCTCCCTGTAGAGCCCTTTCCTCCACATCCACTGTAGGAGCTGTCTCATTTACTCATTTCTCCCTCCACCACGCAACTGAAGTAGAACCTTTGCCTTCCAAGCGACTGAAAAAGCATTCTTTGCACTTTTTCTCTCCCTCCTCTTCTAAAAGAACCCTGGCCATAGGACTGCAGCAAGCCAGTTCTCCCCTCTGCTGCCCCAGCCCTGGAATACCAGGCAGTGCTGAGGCGTTGAGCTGGCTGCCAGCTCCTGCCCGTGCTTGGCTCCCAGAGATTCCGGTAATTAGGCGGAAAGGGGCACCACCTAAACTGGCAGAGGCATTTCATCAGCCCTTGGGCAAGCGGGGCCCTGTGGTTTCCCTCACCCAGCTCGGTGGGCGGCTCTGTGGCTCCGAGCAAACCCTTTGGAGAAGTGGTTTTTGCAGCAGGCGTGGGCACGATGCCAGCCACGAGATTGGGAACTGGGCTTTCGACATCCATCCCCTTCCTGCACCCATTTGGCAGTGGCCAGGGTGCAGCTCCCACCTCCCTGCTGCAAAGCATCACCTGGCTGCTATTTCACCCCGGAGAGGAGGCAAAATCCAGGGGGATTTGCTTCTCAAGTACGATGGGCCAGGTTATTTCCACACAGAACTGTTCTTTGGCACAGTTTGGGCCAAAACTTGAGCAGCTCGGCTTGGGATGATCTTTGGGCAGGCATCCAGCACAGCCCAGAAACACGGGCAGTGGCATCTGCTGCAGCAAAGGGGATGAGGAAATACATAACAGGGTGCTTGTCCAGCCAAAGACAGGGACAGCCAAATGCCAGGTGGTGATTTGCAGAGCCCCAGGGGGGTGTCACAGGTGGGTGGTGGGTGCATCTGGGCACGAGCAGGGCCAGGCTGCAGCCCAGGCACCCCAGCTGCACCTCACTTCACCCCATGCCTGCAGAAGTGTCTCTTCCTTTTCTCTGGCGCCTGCGGTTTCAGTCTGGGAGGAAGCTGGGCTGGGGAGTAAACAGGGTGGGAGGGATGCAGAGAAGGAGGGTTGGGAGCGAAGTAGACAGCTAAAAAAGGGGGTGGGGGACAGAGGAATGCAGAGGAAGAGGAATTGGAGGTGGATGAAATACCAGAACACAGCACTGGCAGTGGGTCTGGGTCCGACACTGGCCTTATGCTGCCAGCACTCACCCCAACCACTTTGTCTTTGGCAGGTGCCCATGAGCTCGTCAGGATGGATAGGTAAGGAAACCCATCCCCCACCTCCTCACACCCCCTCTGCCTCCATCCCAGACCCCACAGGGGTCCTCTCCTCCTCTCCCTTGAAGCCAGCAGGTATCCTCAGCCTGTCAGAGACAAAGGGATGCTGGTGGCACCCACGCTCTGAGTCCTATCCCTTTCTGGGAAGCCACTGTTTCTCTTCCCTCTCTCCAAGTGGGAAGTGCCTCCTTTCTTTTTGCCTGTGCCTGGGGCATGCATCTCCCCACACACCCGGAGAGCCAAGAGACCACTCTGGCAAAGCTTTCCCCCCTGCACTGGTCTCCCCCGTTTGCTCTCAGCTGAGGTGCCACCACCCAAACACGCTCCATGGCCCTGCTTGGCTGTTCCAGAACCCTGGGGACAAGAAAATCTCCTGAAATAAACGTGCACATCCCTGTCTTGTCCCACAGCAGCGCCCAGGGCATTGAGAACCCCGTGTTCGAGGCGGTGCCGTCGGCCGGCGCGGAGCCGCGGCCCCGGCCCCAGCTCTCCTACATGGCCAGCCGGCTGCCCTCCGAGTCTGGCCGGCACCTGCTCTCGGAGCCCAGCACGCCCCTGTCCCCCCCCGGCCCCGGGGAATGCTTCTTCCCGACACTGGGTGAGTGACCGGCGATGCTGAGCCCCCTTGGAGACCACTGAGGTGGGAAGAGGTGGGAGGGAAGGGGAAAGCGGGTGTGAAATATCAGCTGCGACCTTTGTGTTGCAAAGTCCCCATGGCTTAGAAGATGAGAAGGACCCAAACCCTCTGCTTCCCACGCAAAAGACGACTTTGGCCGCTCCCTTCACCTTCAAGCTGGACTAACATCCCTGGTCTGACATTTCCAGATCCTGTTCCTGACTCGCCGAATTCCGTGAAAGCCTGAAGGCCCCCGAGGAAACCACATCCTGCAGACCACGCCATGCTCGCCCAGCCGAGACCCCCAGGAGGGTGGCGGGGCCAGGGGCAGCAAACCCTTAAGATCTGAAGCTGTGTGCAGCAGGACCCCTGCCCTTGTCTCCCATCCGGCCTCTGCCCTGGGACTGGAAGTGAACCCCTCTTGCTTGGAGTTCGATTTTTAACTACCTGTTTCCACAGGAGAAGAGCACGGCTTTGTACTGCTCACATTTTACGTACTAGCTGAAAACTGAGGATGTGGGGATGTAAGCATGTCCCGTACCTGGAAAATTCCCTGAGGATTTAACTTATTGCCCGGGGTTTAAGCTCTGCAACATCAACATGTTTCTGCATCCTTGACTGAACATCCTCTCTGGGAGTGGATGGTAAAGTACTTATTCCACCGTGAAACCAAACAGGGTCACCAGCCAACCTTGTACTACCTTTTTCCCTGCAAAACAGGAAGGGGAGAGGCTCCCTGCTGCCACTGGAGCCCTCCTTCCCTACCAGCCTTTTGAGATGGCCATGGACTTAGGATGCTGCTGCCTTTTCAGCTGGACACACGCCAGGAGGAGCCTTATTTCTGCTGCAGTTTTATCCTTGGCTTGGGATCAGGGGAATTTATCTTTCTGTTTGTTTCATTATCAGTGCTGATTAAAAGGAAAAAAAGGATGTTCATGATTTTCATTTGTTTCATTGTTTGTTTTTTTTTTTTTCAAATGCCTATCAATTAAAAAGTTAATCTGGAGGATGTTGGAGGATGTTCCCGTGACCTGGTTGAGAGCCTGGGTGGAGAGGTGGAGGCACAGGAGTGCAACAGGCACTGGGAAACACCATGGATGGATTTCCCTGAGCCTCCTGGGGCCAGCATGGGGCCACTGTGCGAGGACACTGTGATGCCCTGGGGGGTTGCACAGGTGCCCTCTCTTCATCTGAACACAGCACCCCAGCACTGCTTATCTAAAAGTGGCCGTGGGTCAGGCTCCAGAGTGAAACTCAGCCCTGACAAGGAGATAAAACCTTGTGATAGATACTGTTTCTCCAAGAGTGTGTTTTGTTTTCCCTCTCTTGCTTCTGTTTTTGTTGTGAAGTGGGTGAAAAAAATCACCACGAGACAAACAAAAACATTAGTCATATCAAAACGGTGTCAGCCCTGAGCAGTAGCTGTACCAGGCAGCGTGCCAGGGCAGAGCATCCCCGGCAGCTCCCCAGTTCCCACACTACCTGGCTGGAGGAAACAGCGTTTGCCTCTGGAATGGGCTTGGGGACACCCTGGGGTTCGGCAGGATTCGATTAATCCGGCGTTGGCTTCAGCAAGAGCAACTGCGAGATGGTTCAGGGGTGAAGGAGAAGGCAGCGTCCACCCCCCCTGCATACCACGGATGTAACTTCCTGAGCACGGGACCGGGGCTTTATTGCCACCCACGGCTCAGCCCCTTCCTGCCTCTGCTGGGGAAGCTTTCCCAGTGCCGCCGGCGCTTCTCCCTTCTCCCTGTCCCAGCAGCTGCAGCTGGAAAGGCACTCCTGGATTTTGGCTGCCCCCGGGCCCTAACCGCTTTGAAACCCTCTCCAAGTCCCTCAGGTTGCTAACGAATGCATTGTTCGATGACAGAATGAAGCTTTGTGGGAAACAGGTTTTGCTCCGTGCAGCAGGAATCCCATTTCTCGGGATGTGCTGTGCTGCAGGCAAAGGTGAGCTGAGGAGCCACGCTCTGCCAGAAGCACTGCTGTGGCATGTTGGGGCACTGAGTGGCACCAGGGACCGTTTCCCGCCTGGAAAACCTGCCAGAAGGAAAACTAAAGACTTCTAGGGGAGAGAAGATATGATGGTTGCAGGCGGTTCCTGCAATTCCCACAGACACCAAGACCTTCCAGTTGCAGCTCACCAGCTTGGGAAGGTTTTCTTCCCTGCAATGCTTTTTCGGGTAAACCATTTTCCTTTAATCACCAGCATTTTATCCTTCTGTCCCTGCATTTCCAGCTCCCAAGAGCATCCTCTTGGCCAGTCTTCTATGCTCCCTTGCTGTCCTGGGTATCCCAGATCACCCCGGGACTTCCAAGTCCTCACCCAGCTCCATCCCCTCTGCCTCTCCCACACTAAGAAGGCCAAACCTCGAAGCACACGGACAAACAATTATCCCCTTTTTGCGCATTGTTGCATCAGCCTGGATCTACTTGTGAAACCGCAGTTTCTGGCAGCCAACAAATCCCTGACAGACATCATTTCACCACCCAGGCGTGAGGCCAGCAGGCACCAAGCGACACGCCGGACCGCCTTTCACAAGACCTGAGTGTCCTCAAGCTCCGAAACGGGCCAGAACTCTCCTCCCCATTCAGGAATCGGGTCACTGGGTGCTTTGTCCCGCTTCAGCGTGGTGGGATTTGGATTGTCAGCGCTGGCATAACCTGTGCCAGTGACGTGGTGGTCACACAGCAGAACCCCCGAGGACACGCTGGGACCCCGTTTCTGCAGCGGGAAGCGACAAGCTGTGCCACTTGTCCTCTCTGGCACTGGGAAGGGAAGAGGGCATTGCCATGGCAATGGGATTTTACAGCTCGGCACAGGGCATTCCTCAGCACAGCACCATCAGTGAGGTTCCCACAGTGCTGGGGTGATGGGGACAAGGAGGAGCTGGTGGTATCGGGGTGATGGTGACAAGGAGGAGCTGGTGGTATCGGGTGCTGCAGGGGCAGGAAACCGGCTTCTCTCATCCTGGGGGAAGAGACTTAACCTAGATTTAACCCTCAGTGGCAACACAGCTTATGGAAAAGATGGTGATGCAGAAGCAGGAGTGTGAACTACCCAGGAGGGGGGAGTTGAAGAGTGCAAAGCCTGAAGTGAGAATCACAGCCACAGTTTGCACTGCTGGCTGTGACCCGTTTCCTGAAAATGTATTGCAGGCAGAGCTCTGCTGGGAAAGAAGAGAGATGGTGAGAGATAGCAGGTGGAGACTGGGAGTAGGGGGTGGGTGGTGCAGGAAGGACGGCAGTGTCATGCAGGGTGTCAGCCTATCTCACCATTTGGTCTTCTTTGTGCACATAGGTGCTCACTCACCTCCCTGCAGAGACCTGGGGTTAGAAGGGCTGGAAAATGCCCCTGATGGTATTTGCTCTTTTGACTCTCCCACGCCAGAATTCTCCTTAGAGGCACAGCTAATGAACACAGCAAGACAGTCTCCTCCCCAGACCACAGGATGATGGATGGGGTCTCATATCAGCCCCCAAACATGTGCTCAGACCCTGCTCACCGTGGGCAGGACACTCTGGATAACAGTAAGATGACTAATGAGCTCCTCAAATCTCACATGGTGTGGACTGCAACCGCTCTAGCAGTAATTAATCACAGAATTCTAGAATGGTTTGGATTGAAATGGACCTTAAAGCTCACCCAGCTCCACCCCCTGCCATGGGCAGGGACACCTTCCTCTAGCCCAGGTTGCTCCAAGCCCCATCCAACCTGGCCTAGGACACTTCCAGGGATGGGGCAGCCACAGCTTCTCTGGGCAACCTGTGCCAGGGCTGCCCACCCTCACAGGGAAGAATTTCTTACTGATATGTCATCTAATCCTGCCCTCTGTCCGTTTGAATCCAATGTCCCTTGTCTTGTCACTCCAGGCCCTTGTCAAAATTACCAGGGCTCTTCTCACTCACAAGGACCACAACAGGCACACATCAGGCCACAAACTGGCCATGCCACAAACACTGGCCCACAGTGAATGGAACTGTGGTTCAGCTGCTGCTCCAGCCACTCCCGGAGCTGAGATGGGCGGACAACATCCGGAGACCTTCCAGACTCAGCCTGTGAGCAGGAAAAACTCCTGCAGCTGCCAGCAATGCTTTCCCATTGAGGTGTTCATGGTATTTTTGGCATATAGAGATGGGAGATAGAGCCGACTGAATGACTGCACGAGAGGGTCCTCTAGGACCAGGCGACAAAGGATGCTCTGAGCTAAATCTGTGCACAGGAGATTTGGACCCCGAGTCGTACCCCAAAACACCATAACCTGTGCCTTTTCCACTCCTCCACGCTGGGTGTTTCAGCACTGAGCTTGCTCCCAACAGTGCTGCCCACCCCCCTCTTCCCCCGGGAAGGCCCATTCCGGTGTCTCACCGACAGGGAGGGGTTGCCCTCGTCCTCCACGGTGACCACGAGGCTGTAGAAGCTCTGCCGCTCGCGGTCGGGTGGGGAGGGGCGGGTGGCGATCTCGCCGGTGACACGGTCCATGCGGAACGTCAGGTCCTCGTTCCCGCCGGTGATGTAGTAGGACAGGACGCTGTTGAGGCCGATGTCCCGGTCGGTGGCGCGCACCTGGGCCACCGCCGTGCCCCCGCCGACGTTCTGCAGAGATGTGCAACGTGAGCCTCGTCACATACACAACAGCTAATTAATGGCACAATTCCAATACGGACAGGGGGGTTTTCCAGGCACTGAGGTGCTCGAGGCCCCAGACTCGCTGCCCCAACACCCAGCAGCTCAGCAGAAAGCTGCACGTTAGGTCTTATCTAGTCTGGCACAGCCTGGAAGGGCGTAAAACCCACTGTGCGTGCAGAGGTGAAGGCTGTGTAATGGACTCGGAGCTCGGCTAATTATTTTTGGATAGTCCCATTACGGAGGAAATCAAAACAGAAATTCTGTTCTTCAACCAGCTCTGAACACGTATTAAATAGATAAGAAAACCCTAACAGGGCAATAACCTTAATGTGAAACTATAAATCACAAGCAGCAGTTCCTCACAGCTAAGTGGCACCGGCTATTACTCACATTTCATTTTTCATCACCAAATTGAGAATCCCCCCCCCTGCCCTGCCTACCCCCGGCCCAGGAATTAAACTGTCAGGAAATAAGTTGTCTTTCCTCATGCCTGATTGTGTTTTATTGCATCATTATCTAGCCCTTGCCAAGCTGCTTCCTGAAAGCCATTCCTATTCTGCACCGCGCTGCCTCTTGTGCCACTTTGGCGGCATTTCCATGGGTGTGTAGCCACTTCTCCTTCCGGCTGGTCCCTCCAGCCTCACAGGCTTAAGTTGCCTGCAGAGCTTTTTCCTAGCCCAGAACTAGGAGCCCATCACCAGTGAGGGCTTTCAAGGGGTCACCAACCCTTAGACCACCCAAGGTGAGGACAGCAACGGGTCACCAATCCTTAAATGGCCCAAGGTGAGGTTTTCAAGGGGTCACCTACCCCCAAATCGCCCAAGGTGATGAGAGGAGCAGGGCTGGGTGCTCACCTCGCTCACGCTCACGTTGTAGCCGAAGGGGCTGTCGATGACCGGGGGGTTGTCATTGATATCAAGGACGTTCACTCGCAGGGTGTGCTCCTTCCTCCGGGGGGGCACGCCGCCATCCGACGCTTGGATCTGCGCGTGGGGGGTGGATTTTCAAAAAAAACCTGCTATTTTGAAGCTCACGGCTCCAAGAGAACAGCCTCGCTGCTCCAACCAGAAGCAGCCCAGCGAGGTTTGGTGCTGACCCGTAAGGTGTAGTGATCCAGCAGCTCCCGGTCCAGCGGCCGTGCCACAAACACCTCACCGTAGGTGTTGTTGGTGGTACGGATCTCAAAAGCCCGGCCAATGTTCCCTGATGTCAGCGAGAAAGTCACCTGGAATCATCACAGGGAAAGAAAGACAGAGCAGGCAAAGTGATACTGTGAGGAGGAGGCTAAAGAGATCCTACAAAAA